GTCATTCGATCTTAGTCCCACTCTCAGATCCTCTCTCAGCCAGCTTTCCACCTCCCTCAGTCCAACTCTCAGATCCCTTTCTCAGCCAGTCTCAGCTAGCCTCCTCTCTCTCTCAGACATTGTCAGCTCAATCGACTCTCCCTTCATCTCAATCGAACTTCATTAACCCGAATTCAACCCGAGCCCGCCCGAATTAAACTTGGGCAATGCTCGGGTTGAGTTTTTTAACCCGAGGTAGGATTAGAGTTAGAGTTAGGATTGAAGATTTTATACCTAGGTTGGGTTAGGGTTGATTGTCTAACCCGCCCAAGTTGCACCCCTATGTATATCTGTAAAAATGGACATGTTCATATTCATACACGGACCAAAAAGAGAAGATTAAGAGATTAAAAAAAAAAAAAAAAAGGAAAATTACACTCTGACCCCCTCAATTATGATTTTTTCCACATTACCCCTCACAACTATCATATTTTTTTACATTACACATTCAATTATGTGATTAGTTTCACATTGCCTTAAATATTAACGTTTGTTATAAGTTCTACAAAAAATTATTTCATTTTGCTTTCTGAACTAAGTGATTTTATTCACTTTGCCCCGATATGTTGGTAATTTTTGTCCAAATAGTTGTCAGACATGTTCATTTGGAGCAATGTGAACTCATTCAAGTACTTGAGAGAGCAATGTAAAAAAATCAATTGTTCAAGAGACAAAGTAAAATATAGTCCATAATTAAGAGGGTCAAAGTATAATTTATCCTAAAATGAAAGGAGGTTAAAAAAATTGTCAGTCTCAATTGCATCCTCCAACTTCACATACTGCATTTTATATTTACATGATTGTTTTTTAATAAATAGGTAAAATTTCAGCCACATCCTCATAGTTTATCATATTTTCAAGGATATTTCTATCTATTATCAAAAATATTACTGACACCCCTTTTAGTTTATATTTAAACATCACTTACACCTCTTGTCATTAAACCACCATTTATAATAAAAATAAATTATCTAAAAAACCAAAATTGTTCTTACATAAATTCTAAACAATCTTTCTATATAAAATTCGACTAAAAATCAAGTCGATTAAAATTTATTTTTCTACATATTAAAATTCAAGTTGACTAAAATTCTTTTTTCTACATATTAAAATTTGAGTCGATTAAAATTTGATTCAAACTGATTAAATTTTAATTTTTACATATTAAAATTTGAGCCAATTACAATTCTTTTACGTATTAAAATTCGAGCCAATTTGAGCTCTACTTGAGCAGTTAGCCCTGATTAAAATTCGTTTCGAATCTATTAAAATTTATATATTTTTTATTTACTAAAATTCAATTCAAGTCGATTATAATTTATTTTTTACATAATAAAATTTGAGTCAATTAAAATTTATATTTTTTTTTGTATCAAAAATTGGGCCGATTAAAATTTAATGCGAGTTGATTAAAATTTGATTTGAGGCTCGAATATAATTTTAATTGGCTCAAATTTTAATATGTAAAAAAATATAATTTTTAATCAACTTAAATTTTAATATATAAAAAAAAGGTTTCAATTAGCTCGAATCAAATTTTAATCTGCCCAAATTTTAATACATACAAAAATTTTAAAAATAGAGGAAGTCTCATTGAAGATATGCTTATTTAGAGGGGGTGTGAATGAAGTTTTTTTCTAAAATATTTCACGGGTAATTTAATAAAATTGCATTCTAATTAACATATTAATAGGAGGGTCATTCAATATTCTTAAAATAAAGTAGATGTTTTTGAAGATATGATAAACTAAAAAAAAGTGTTTTTGAAATTTTTCCTAATAAATAATAAAATATATCTCTCAATATAATTTTTATTTTATCCTACTCAAGATTTTCTTTTTCATATGTCGAATCATGTACTGTAATCAACATTTATATAATCTTGATAACGTAAAGCAATAAGATCATCACGTTGGAGTTGTTCTAATGTTTACTAAAATAAATTTGAAATCAATTTGATGGAGTCGAGAGGATTAAAAGTATAATGAAAGAAAGTAGAAGAAGTGATTAAACACTTCATGACTACCGTCCTCTATGTTGACGTTAAGGTCGTGGGTTCGATCTTCTTCATCTTCTCACCGTAATAGTGTCCGACAAAAACAAAAAAAAATAATAATAATAATAATTTTCATTACCTTTGACTATCTGATTACTTATGAATAATCATGGCTTTCGCTTGAAGCAAAAGGTTTGTGAAAGATCAGATTTTTACTTACTTCTTTGGGGATGGCTGCATTGCAATTTTTTCCGGGTAACTCTGAGCCTTTCGGGGCTGACCAGGTCTCTCTCTCTCTCGCCGGCGAGATTGCAGGAGAATCGTCCTAATGACTAGCAGTGCATGATAGGAAGTCTCAAACAGTGTATATATCTGTCCATGTAGAAGCCACCAAAGTAGGAATCCAAAGGGATTGCATGATCCAAATTCTACACAAACTTGGCAAATATTGTCAAAAAGACAGTTGGGATCAATGCGATCCCTTTGGATGCCTCCTTCAGTTGCAGTAAAAACCAAGCATCTCTCTCTCTCTCTCTCTCTCTCTCTCTCTCTCTCTCTCTCTCTCTCTCTCTCACTCAGTGGTCTAAGGGTGCATCAATATAAAAGAGGGGAAAAGTGCTTTAACAAGCACTAAATTTTCATTTTTAAAATTCCCATTTCTTTTTTGGGAGTCTTATTATTTGCAAAATCTTGAGAAAATATTTTTTCTTACATATTTGTTTATTTATAGACCCCACTCTCTAACTAGAAAAATGCTATATTTATCAAATTTTCTTATCAAATCTTTTATTCTAAATGATGTAACACAATCTTTATCATTGAATATTAGCGGGCTTCACTTATCCAATAAAAAAAATTGTATCACATAATTTGAAATAGGGATTTAGTAGGAAAATTTAATAAGCATATACACATGGAGAGGGTTTTACCAGTGGTGTGGGTCAGTCATCTCTTAGAAATTCTCAATAAGTTGGATGACAGTATATCATTGTTTTTCAATTATTATTTACTTGTTTAATGAATGGACTTGGTCCCATCCATGTTACTCTCACCCACCAAACTTTTATATGCTTATTTCACAAGGAATACTCTCTCTCTCTCTCTCTCTCTCTCTCTCTCCACATGTACATACATACATATACTATTGTATTGTGACGCAAAAATATATACCTCTCAATGATGTGATCATATAATTGATACTGAGATAATTACAGTAGAAAATCCAAACAGATCCAACCTGTTGGTTGAAATTTTATATTCCAATTTTAATGGTCGTGCACGAATCAACGTGGCTCTCCCTATATACTATATTATGATCGGGAAATATTTTTTGTATCTAATTTAATAACTTTATTTGATGATATGATAAATTATAGTCAATAAATTGATAGTAGGTCTTAATTAATAGTGAGGTCCATTGTTAATTTAATAATCAAAAATGATAAAGTTACTAAAAAAAATTATTAAATAAGGTTCATGTGGCGCTGTCTATCATGATCTGGCCAGCAAAGGTTGTTTTTCCTCGATTTGCCAAACTAAATTTTGTTAAGTATGTTACTATTTTTAATTACTAGAGTTTATTTGTTCATATGCTGCCTATACTAAAGGAGAAATTATAGTGAGAGAGAGTGCTAACTTTCCTCAGATAGAGACTCTTAAGGGAAAAAAAAGATAGGTTGCCTTTTTATTTTCGACAAATTTCACTGTACCCTCGTGCCTTCTTCTTGTAAAACTTCGTCTCCATGCAAAAGGAACTTTTGAGAAAAGAAATATAATTGCTAGTTTTAGCAGAATCACCATTCTCCACTTATAATAATTGAGGAGACCTCCAGTTTTGTTTATGCATGTTTATTAGATCGAGACGAGTATAATCAAAATCAGAATTGGGCAATCTCCATCAATCAAGTCTAGTTGAAATGCTAATCAGGAAGGACTGGTTTTCAAACACTCTTCTCTCTGTTTCAATTTGCCTTATGTCACTGCAATTTTTACTCAAGTCATTCTTTGAAATAAAGAATTCACGTCTGATTCGTCTTTCAAAAAATTTTGACTTTTAAGAGAATATTTAGATTCTTTAACTCTTTATATTTTTCTTTCATTTTTCAATCCGTGACATTCTAAACTATAGTTTTCACGAGACAATCTTAGTACTGAAATTTTTACTCGTCCTTTGGGCATTTCCCTTAGTATAATCATATAATTTTCTCGTGGTGTTAGACTAATATCTAAAGGAAGGAAAACTATTCTTGTACCTTGAGTCACTTCCTTTGCCCATTTGCAGGTATACTCAAAACCCCATATTACATCATTTTCTTAGCAACCATAGTCCTATAAAAGAAGAAAGAAAACCAGGCAGTGATTTACAAGAAGAGAAACAACTTTCAACAAATTGTCCCAACCATATTATCCATGGGAACGTGGATGAAACTATGTTGTCTCAATCGGGTTATTCTTTCTAATCTTTTGGATCCTGATCTGGTTAGTTCTACGAACATATTTTTAGGGTTTAGGCAGTTTAGAGAAATAAAGATAGAATATCGCAGCCTCAATTCAACTTCTTTTGCATTACACGAACAACAAATCTTTATTTCTTTATCACGGTGGCTAAACATTGAACTCAAGGATATAATTGGCGCAAATCTTGACGGACGCCCTACAAAAAAAAAATCTTTATTTCTTTACCACCACTTCCCATGCTACTTCCTAGTATACACTTGTTTTAAATTTTCACTAGAATTTTCTCCCCCACTATGGGGCATAGTAAGGGTTTTTTTTTTGATACACGGTGTTTAAATTTGAATCGATTACGCTATTGAATTCAACAATTAATTACTGTGGTTTGAGTTGACCTAGAGCATGTCTTTAATGAGACAATGATAGCTAGCCCTTGGGAGATATAAGAAGGAACTGAATCTAAAATCTTTGAGTTACTAAAAGAAAGTCTCAACCATTAAATCACCCATAGGGGTTAGGCGTAGGAGGGATTGTCATCACAGTTCCAGCTTCCAACAGTAGGAGATGGGTAATTGGGCTGGTGGCAATGGCCTATCGGATCAGGGGCACCGATGAGGCGTTGAGCTCAGAACAGTGGGCTTGTAACCAAGCGGCCCATAACACGCTTATATCCACAGGTATCAAACCCAGCCCATATAAACCTGACAAAAACACTAGCTCAATGGATCATTCATTCAATCGATAGATTAACTTGTTGAATTGATAAAAAATAATATGCATTAAATAAAACACATCTAGAAAATATTAAGCATGTTCATCACAAATCAAAGACAAGCTACAAATCTAAAATTTTTAATCTTTCACCAGATCAATGGATTATTGGTTTAACTGCGAGAGTCCTTCAAAGTCTTTACGTATCTGAAATAACCACCGAGTGGGGCTCAATTAAATAATTGATTATTTATATTGAACATTAAAAAAATAGTGTATAAATTTTTTGTGTCCATGATATTTATCTCCTCCATTTTTTTGGAACTAATAAATTTGTTATAATATATAACACCACATTGGCACATTTTTTTTTCAAATTTAATTTATAATTGTTGTTGGATGGACAATAAATTACACTGAATTTAGGCTACAAAGTCAATAAATTTAGATTAATTTATAAACAATTTAATTAAAAAGAGAGGAGAGAGTTTAGTATCCAATCCTAAAATATGTATAAATACCTTTTATTTCTTCCTAAATAATTGCTAATAACTCCCTCTTCAATATAGTAATGCTACATAGCTCAATGGAACACAAAAAATTACGACTCAAATGCATATATCATCTTTTGAATGAATATTAGATGAGAGGGTTCTATCAATTTTTTCAGTGGGACCCTTTCATCCAATATTCATCTAAGAAATAATATGTATTTGAATTATAATTTTTGAATTCTATTTGGGTTGTGTAATATTTTTTGTCAATAATATCCTCTCTTTTTTTAATAGCCAATCAACTCTTTTTTTTTTTACTATATTCAACTGCTTATTTTTATATTTCCACAAAGTAACTATATGTGCAGGGTGTCTAATATTAATAATAAATAGTGCTGGGATGCATTTAGTTATTTGGATGCCTATTCGCATGGATAAAATTGAAAACGTCGCCGTCTAAAATTCAGTTTGGGTCACAAGAAAGAGGACGCATCGGTCATTTTAAATAAAAAAAAAAGGGTTAATCTCATTTTGCACCCTGAAAAATCGTTCGAATCTCAATTTATNATTATATAAATATCTACATTTTATTAGACATTCAAATGGTAAGCTTGATTTTGAACTTTAGAGTATATTGGACCCATAGAATAAGGGTAATATGAAATTATAATTTTTATTAGGATAAAATTATATTTTTTAACGGTTATATTAACAGATATCAATGAAAATGGATTATATGTTGTACGTGCATAAATGTCATGAGATGTAGGAGTAATATTCTGAATGTAAAGAGGTCCAAATGATTAAGTAACAAACATGAGGGGATCTAGGTATAATTTATCAATTTAATTTTAGGTGCATAATGATACAAATTTATATATTTGAGAGTGCAAATTAAGATTTTTTATCTTTGGGGTGCACATTGATATAAATTTCTATCTTTGAGGGTGTAAATTGAGATTTTTGATATTTGGGGGTGCACATTGATATAAATTTTTATCTTTGAGGGTGTAAATTAAAATTTTTGATTTTTAGGAGTGAACATTGATACAAATTTCTATTTTTGAGGGTGTAAATTGAGATTTTTGCTCTTTGAGGGTGCAAATTGAGATTCGAACAATCTTTCAAATTATAAAATGAGATTAACCCAAANATTGATACAAATTTCTATTTTTGAGGGTGTAAATTGAGATTTTTGCTCTTTGAGGGTACAAATTGAGATTCGAACAATCTTTCGAATTATAAAATAAGATTAACCCAACAAAAAAAACCGCTTTCCAAAACCCTGACAACGCGGAATGCGAAACGTTTAGCTAATGGCGAATCTCACATTGACCCTGAACTATTTAAATTTTTTTATTTTATATTTTTAAAGATGAGATTTTTTATATTATAGTTTGAATATATTAAAAGTATTCTTATGTGACCCTTATATTAATTATTTTATCAAAATTTACCCCATTAAAGTTGAAAAAAATAAGTACTAATAGAAGGCCACATTCAAAAGGGTCCAGATCCACTGCTGTTGATTAGCGGTGTCAATTTTTCTTCAAAATGATGTCATTCTATTTAACAAAAGAATTTTACCTTGGTGCAAAGTGATGTTTTAATCAAAAGTAACAATAGAGAGTCCTCCCCGTTCAAACATTTTTAGGGACTGTTTGGTATGCAGGTTTAGGAAGGTTTTGAAACATGAGTCGGAGACTAAACCCCCTTAAATCTATATTTAGTAACTAAGAATTTAGTCGAGGATTTAAAATCCGGCCCGATCATTAAACCCCTGTTCATGGGTTTCATGAAACCCAAGAGAGGTGAGTTTCATATGTGAGTTTGGGTTTCACATTCAAATAATATTTATATTTTTCATATATTCATACCCATATTTGAATTAAATTAGTTAAGGAATATAATACTCATTTAAATAAAAAAATATAATCATAATAGTTATATATTCCTGCGTATATATTAAAATAGTCATTCAATTTTAATGATATAAAGGAATAATTATTGAATGTTTGAAGGTATAAAGGGAAATTCTCTCCGGTCAATATCAATTCCTCGCCCCTTGCCAGAGTCCAATTTTGCAGTTAGGGAGGTAGGTACGGTTCAGTTGCAGAGGGAGAGGGAGAGAGAGAAACAGAAACAGCAATGGACCGAGAGCAGCAAGAGCTAAACGATTTAATTCTCCTGGACGCCGCCGCTGACGGCGGCGTTAGCACGGCTGTGGAAGCAGGTGTTGATGGCGATGGCAACGACGATGGTGGTGGTTCTAGTGCTGGTAGGGTTAAGGGGCCTTGGTCGCCTGAGGAAGACGCGATTTTAGGTCGACTGGTTAGTAAGTTCGGAGCAAGGAACTGGAGCTTGATCGCGCGAGGGATTCCTGGAAGGTCCGGTAAGTCGTGCCGTCTACGGTGGTGTAATCAGCTTGACCCTTGCGTTAAGCGCAAGCCTTTTACTGGTAACACCTCCATCATCGATTTAACCTCAATCGCTCTTTCAAGTGTAGATTTTTCTTATATGTCCACTTTTGTTTTTTGTTTTTTTGATTATTTGTGTATGTTAATGGGTTTGTGGTGTATTTATGTGTTTCCGATTTTTATTTTGAAATGTGAAAGATATCTGGTTATTTTGGGTGGTTAATTGCTGATGTTGAGGGTGATTTAGCTGGTAGAGTGAATAATGTTTGCTATTAGTCACTTCGCTTTTGTGGTGGAACTGATGGGGACTTGCGGTGGCAGTGGTTCTGGGTGTAGTCTGTTTGTTGATCACGCCAATCAATGCTTAGAGAACATTCTACTATATCTTAACTGTCCATCCATAGCTTAGGAGCTGGTATCTCTATCTTTCTGATGTTGTATGCGTGTTTGTGGTTTTTTCTTTTGTCTTTTTGATCAGCTTGTGTTCTACTTAGGAGTTTTGACTTTCTATGAATTTGAATCGCCTCAGAGCCATTTTAATGGCATTTGAAGAAGAAATTATTCAATTTTGTTGGACATTTGAATGGTTGCTTGAAAATGAAATTAGGATGAATGATGATTCTACAACATCTCCGTGCTAATGTTGATGTTCTATTTGTTGAATGTTGATTCTGATGCTAAATTGAATCTTATATCTGGAATATTGCAGTGAGATAAACGTAGAGAAACTATAAGAGAATTCTAGAATGCCATATATGATGAATGAACTTTTGAAAAAACAGGATAACGCTGTCTTACCTAATAGGTGGTTATAAGTATTTTATATGCTGAAATAGCTCATTGTTTTTTGATTGGATGCCTTATAGGTGCCAAACCTTAATAGTTAGAATCACCATTGAAGTGATAAAATCTTTTCCCCTTTATTTTGGATCTGTGACAATGCACTATGGTCATTATGATCAGATGCTTCGTTTATGCTCTCATTGATGTCAGTCATTATGGAAGCTTGCTCAATCACCCACCCACTAACTGATCATATTTAGCCTCATTATTACTCTTTGTACTATCATTTTGGCAGCTTAGATGATCAGAGTACGTAGGTGCTTTTTCCTGTCATACTAGCATATTTCCTGACTAGTTGTAGGCTTTATTCATCTTGACCAAGAAGCATGTACATTTTTAAAAAGGTATCATACCCATGTTGCACATCAACACTTCTATGATATGCTGCTGCCTTCTGCCATACCTACTTCTGGTGAATGAAGAGAAGAAAAGATATGTAACCATATACCCAAACAATTGTACTTCTTGAATCAGCATATCCTTTTTCCTTGTAGCCAGTTCAATGAAGCTCGCATGTGCATGTTGGCCGAGTCAGTAATCTCTCACTATGGGACAGTTAAAAAGCTTTGCTTGTACTTTTTTCATTCAATATTCATTTTGCCTTGAATTTAGATGGTATACGGCCCGTTCACTAGCTTATCCAAGCAGAGCTGCACCATTTGGAGACTCTAACTCATTTAATCAACAAAAATATGGCGTCAGCTTCAGCTTAACTAGAGCTCATAAATGATTTCAATTTTTCAAAATACAGGCTAGATGACTTGAACAATGTTTAAAGAGTGGACAAAGATACCCTCATATAAGTCATATTATTAACAGCTAATCTGGCACAATGACTCTGTGTGCATATTCTTGTTCCTTTAGGTTGAGCCAGCCGTATTCCTCTTCGTAGCCATTTATGTCATTCATCTTTCTTTTTTATACTGGATGGAATTTAAAGCATAAATTGTGTTTTCCCTGGATCAGAGAAGTTGTTGGGTTCTCTAGTTTGTTGATTTATTTGGTGGTACTTTACAACAAGAACAAATTACTTTTTTCCATCATATCTTACTTGATGAACTGATTCACTAGAGATTGAATCTGCTTTAGTGTCTCCTGTTTCATGGTTCTGCTGCAAGGTTTTGTACTTTTGTGAAGTCTCTACACAGCTTTTATGGTGAACTGCATGTCAAAATGATGTCATAAGCATTCACTACAAATTTTACAGGAATGGATAATGATGGAAAATTCTAAGACCGAATCTATTTTAGGGATATCTACACATTGAGGATGTGTTTTGCACGACATTCATAGCCCCTAATACCTTCTTTTTTTTTTCTCTGCAAGTGATATATCTTGGCAGGAAAATCCCAGCTCAAAGATTTGCTAATAGGCATTTAGTTCTTGATATTATGGACCACTTATATAAGATTCTCCAATGCTATAAATGGTATACCTTATCAATGCATGAGAATGGATGTTTAGTAATTTTTGGTGCATATTAATTCATTTTCTGATCTATCTAGCTTCTTGTCGTTATTGCTTTTCTTATTATGTTCCTGATGTGTCTCTTTTGGTTCTTTAAATTTTCTTTCACTTGTTTCTTTTTTTTTTTT